ATTTTAAATTACCTTGGTGTTGTGTTTGGATTCTGACCGCTCCAAGCAAGGTCCTCATGTTCTAGGATCAATGTCAGTATCGGAGCAACTACGCACCTACCCCTCCCCTAACCCAACCCCAAGTTGTGACAAGTTGACTGTTTTCGGGTTACGGGAGGGATAGGTACGCAGTTGCTCCGATACTGACATTGATCCGTGTTCCCCATCCATACTCGTGCCCAGTACTAAGCTCTACTGGGAAGAATTTTCAAAGCTAGAGCGGCTTTGTGCGAGCAGAGCGCGCGAAGAATGACTAAGAAGATAGAGAATAACTTTCCTTCGCTACGGAAACGAATAAACAACCATGGGGTACTAGTGCTTTGGCTGTGCCAAAGGGGATTTTATCAATAAGTTAGTAACACATTTGCTCACTCAACAGGCTGAAGCCGCTGCTGGCCAACCAGCTGGTGACACCTTGAGTAGTTCAGGTTTGTGGAGCGTAAAGTGCATTTCGATTTGAAATTACAATTGTCAGAAGTAACAGAGGAAAGTATTAGCCAACAAGGACTCAGAGCTAGAACTGCCTGAAGCGCGGGAAATTTCACGTGATCAAGTCATGATTGGTTAAAATTCGGCTGCATCTGAATGGTTAATGGTACAATGCAATGCAATGAAATCTCGGGTAACTTACGACTCTCAAATGAAGATTTTCATTGATACTATGTGATATTTTCTTTAGTTGTGATCGGCCGTTGAAATTGCTTCGATTATAATGGAAAACTTTCTTTTTTTTGCAGCAAGTCGTTTACGAACATCATTTTCGCTTTTTCTTTCAGAGTTCGACCAGTTTCTTGCGGACCGAGCCGCTGCAGGCGGTATGCGGAGTGGTAGCGTAAAGGGAGGCAGTAACCGTCCCAAACAGAGACAGATGCAAATGGAAAACCAGGCGGATGATGAAATGTTCGGCTTATGATTCAACTGTGAAAATACTTTCTTTTTTCAGACTATAACCTTGGTTTTGAAACGTTCTTCTGCTGTAAAAGAGCTCTACAAACGGATTATGAACGTCTGTTTTGAGACGAGGATTTTAGTTATTGACATTTTTGTCAAAGAATTACTGTAATGGCACGCAACGTTTCAGTCGATGAAAGATTGCGTTAGAACACCACAAACGACTTCGAAATATGACTTAAAAGAGACAAAGTCGTAATGAAATGGACGTCAGTAGGAAGCACGAGGAAAGAAGGACATAAGAAATGAGAATTTTGGTAAATTGGTGAATATGACTTAAGATATTCTCTAGTTTCAGGTGGGCAGATTTGGCCACGTGACGCATTTAGACCAATTTCCCGCTAGAAAATATATTTGATATGTTTTTTTTTTTTTTAAGCATATTGATACTGTAAGAAGAAAGAAGATGATAGGCAGTTTTGGGAATTCAAGAGATGCACTGATCGTCAAATTCATGAAATATCAGATTTAAAGTGAAAACGTGGCCTTGCCTTTTGTTGAAAAAAAATTAAGATAATTGATGCAACCATAATTAGAATAGTTTTCAAGTCATATTCATTATAACATATTGACAGCAGAAATCGTGAGGTGTGATCCTGTTCCTTCACAATTATTGATCGGTCTCGTCTCGCAATCCCGTCACCCAACGCGACTCGCGTGGATATAGCGTGTCATATTGCGTGACTAAACGACGCTTGTGAAAGAAACCTCTGCGATCGTTTGTTATAATGTAGTATTGATCGTTCAGTGTTCTGTTTAAGTCTCTTTGAAAAATTTGAGCAATGTATGATATGATTATAGACAAACACCAGGATTCTTTACGATCGAACTTTAATTTTTATCTTAGAACGTGTTATCAAATAAGAAAGAATTGGTGAAACGCTTGAGGAATTGTAGTAAAAATGTGCACGTTTCAGACATGATCCTGTGAAACAAAAATGGGTGCGTATGATTAATTTGTGTTGGTTGGAATGTAGAGATTATCATAGTTCACGAGAAAACTACTGAGAAAACGGAAATGAAGAACATGTCACTCTTGGGACGCAGCTCATCGCTGGAAAGCCTATGATAAGTCATGCACTGCACACTGTCTGGTGCCCAAGCTTCGGAGCTAGATAAGCTTGCAAAGTCGTCGGTTTTTTTCTTTTTCTTTCTCTTTTTTTCCTTTTTTTTGCGCTTGTAAGGCGAGCAGAATAAAGCGCGAGGCGCGCGCAAAGCGGGCGTTAAGGGCGAGTCACATTCGAAAGGAGGAGCGTGACCATTTATAAAAATAAATATGCAAATTTCGTCAGTTGTGCAGATAAGGACAACATATGTCAAATGACGTGGAGAATTATATTTTAATATCTTAAATTAGTAGATCCTCATAATTGTAACTCTTACGTGGAAAGCTGCTGGAGCTTTGAAGGTGTGTTCACGAAAGGATGTGTTCAGAAGCTAGATTTTGTATTACTTTGAGTCTTATTACCTTCATAACAGTTCAGTCCCCAATCTTCACCTTCCGCGCACGATGTTGGGGTTCCAGGTCTCGAGGTTCATTTATTCCTGACGTTTCTTTGTTTTCTGTTTTTTGTTTTTTTTTTTTCGAAGAGGCGCTGTCTTTTTGAAATTATATTCACTTCAGTTTGTTTTTTGATTATTCTTTTCTTCTTTTCTTCTATTCGTCATACAAGATAATTACTTTTACTTCAAAGTTAGTTTGCGAACACAACTGTTTATCTTCTTCATTGCGAAACTTCTTAAAAATTCGGAGCAACAAGACTTCAAAAAGGTCTTTGGTTACCTTTTTTTTTTTATTATATTTTGTTTGTTTTTTAGTGAAAATAAAATAACTTTTGACTCCAACTGATAAGTTGTCTTTTTGTGAAGGGGCGAGAGTTAACAGGCAAGGTGCAGGGTACAAGTTTAGACGTCAATACAAGCTCTAAGTCACATGCTTTCGAAGACGCTGCGCCATTGGTCAATACTTGCCTAAAACTCACTGCGCCCCAAAAATTTGCCCAATGATATGCCACTAGAACAGCTTCCGGTTTTGTCGTGTCATGTCAGATACTTGGCCAAAGTATTAAAGTTTTAGTATGAGAAGAGAACACAAAATAAGTTCCTTGTGTGTATAAAACACCAAAGAGACCAGTAAGATGGTGATTTTGTCTGCAAGTCGTCAGGCCCATTGTCCTCGACTAAGTGCCTTGTATCCTGAATTTCTTGTGAAGTTCAAATTTTGCGGGGTTTGACTAAATCTTTTATCCGTAAATGTGTTCCTACGGAAAAAAAATTTCGGTGATTTAACAAGACGTGGAAAAGAGATGTGTTTCTAATTGATGTATCAACAGCAGGCACGAAAATCGAATGGTAAACCAGTCTAGAATTGCAGGCAAATTCTCACTTAAAAACTTGCGCGGAAAGAAACTGGAAATGATGGACCATTTTCAAAACACAAGTTCCCGCCTGTCATTTCAAAATTCGCGGTCAATATATCATCCAAATATGGTGATCTTTTGTACCTTTTGTCCAATCACATTTGCGGATTGCCCTTCGAGGCTCTTAGATATGCGCCGCTGGTTTGTTTTCTGCGCATATCGCACATGTTCCTTTCTTCAGTAGGGAATGTTTTTGAGGTTAGATGTAGCATTTTACCCTAGTGTCTATGATTGATCTCCGGATTCGTTCCACTCAGAAACGCAGGATGTGCTCCTGCCCACACCTGAAAGACTTTAAAAAGGCTGATGGCTTCAAAGTCTTTCGTAAAGTCCACGCGCATTTCGTCTGCTGCGGTTCTCGCGAGGCAAGGAAACGAAAGGTACACATGCTTGTAAATTTCCGTAATAGAAGTAAGCTGGTCCTAAAGTGCATCTGTCGTCTTTATTTTCATATTTTCAATTTTCCTTCTCTCAGGCAAGCTTGTGTCACTGTCACGAATGTGGAACATATTCAAGTCGTCTCCATTCCTGTCTTTTGTGCGTATATTTTGGTTGCTATACCGGAAACCGGCACATTCACCATCACGCAAAATCCACCGGTCATTCTTTAGGTAGGGAACGCGGAACGAAAAAAATAATACTTTGGTACTCTGTTCAATCATTTGCAGCATTCTCATTTATTACATTTGTTTTGCTGTTTCCAGCTTTGGATCTGACTCATGGCGTAATCTACTGCTTCGTGTGCAGAGACAATGTATACGATCTGGATTTGGAGAAGATTCGTGTCGAGCAAACCAGCAGAGCTTGGAAAACCTTAGGTAAGAGCTAACCATAGCTCAGGAGAAATCTGTTTTTATTTCGTGCTAGATTCTGTGGATTTTATATTCCAGCTTGGGGAAGGGATCGAAGATGTGTTTAGTGGTGAACGCTCATCGGAGTTCACGAGAAGAGAGATTCATCAATGTACTTTAACATGCAGTTAAAAGACTCTACATCTTTACAAATTTCCATATTTTGTTAATTTTGCATGCCGTTACTTGGTCAAGACCTGTCATATTAGGCAGTGCTGTGGCAATAACAGTGGTTGCTCAAAATTGAACTATCATGCTCGCGATCGCGAATAAACACGAATCCGTATGCAATTATTGTCAAGACGTCGTACTTCAGCTCCATGTCGCTTTGTTTACTTGTACAACTTTGACAGAACCATCCAAATTTTATACTGTTTCTATTGATTTTGTAATTACAACCAAAAGCTGTGAATTTTAAAGCGGTTTTAAAAACAGAGTTGCAAAAATATACAAACTAAGGAAGTTTTTCCCGACTTCTCATCCAATAACACGAGGCTAACATTTAGACTGTATAGAGGACATGAAGTTCTTTCAACTCACTAGATTAGGATAGAAGGAAAATACGAGTAAGCTAATTATAGATTTTATCAAAGCTAAGATGTCATATGATCGTTACACATCAGGATCTGCCTTATCATGGATGAAAAAATTCTGAACTAAAATTATACTTAGAACTCATTGTCGATATTGAGCTGACCTTGACCTTGTGAAGTTTCTGAGGGGAAGAGGCTTTCTGTTGATTGCAATTTGGTTGTTCATAAAGGATCATAGTTCACTTCAATTTGGGTACCCATTTTTTTAGGTGTTGTGATATATTCATCACAAAGCATCTCTCACACAATATCTACTGTTTCCTTTTCACTGACAAATGATAAGCTGTTCCAATATTGCATGGCGGACTTGCCGCTTGCTAAATGAGAATCCAGTTGTTACACCAGCTGAATTCTCTATTATTGTTTGACAGGTTTCTCGCTCTTGTCATGGTTTCTTTATATTCAGGTGATTGAGTTACAGACAAAAATAAACAATTCAAGTCCTCACGATTTTCATGTGTATGCCCTTCTTTTGTCCTAAATTACAACTATTAATGTTGAACAATGGATTAAAATTACCATTATCCCCTTCTCCTTTTTGCTAGTTTATTTCTCTCATTGCTTCCTCACATTTTCTCAAAAGTCACTCCAAGCTTTCCTTGATCTTGCTATTTAAACACTTCATCAAACTACACAGCACTGGCTGACTTTCAAATACACTTCACATGCAAGCTTTCTTTTTTATTTTGGTTTTACATAGTGAAGGTGACATTTCATGTGAATTACACAATATAAATGCAAATTCAAGGTATGAGCATTCATTTGGGTATATAAAATCTTGACCTCGGTGCAAAAATTGGTACAGTTGAATTCCTTAAACTGGCCAAAGCCTGGTGTGTTAATTACATGTATAAAATGTTATTTCTAGCATTGCTCAATACTAAAAACATTGATTCCTTCTTATGTAATGGTGCCATGCAGTTCACACTAGACTGTCACAGTGACTATCTCTACACAGGAGAAAAAACCAAATTGAAAAATTATATCAGAAAACTTGGAAACTGTAGGAGGTTACTTGGAATGAGTTGGCTTTCCAGTGAGGGCTTGTTTGGAACATGTGATATGCTCTGTATTATGGGCTACATGGCTTGAAAGACCTAATATCATGAAAT